GGCCATAGACCTTGCCAAAATGTCTCCTTCTTCACCCTGAATGTCGTTGATTTTACAGCTGGATTTCAAGTGGTTCTACTAAAAGTATGGATTTTGGCTAATGCATGCTTCTTTCGACGATAAGTGTTGATTAATAAGGGCACATTTTCTTAGCGGCACGGCAAAAAATTCTGAAATATTTCTTAGTTAAATCCTTATTATTATCAGGGACTAATTCATGCAAGCATCTAAATTTAAAATCACACAGTGTGTCTGGGCTGCCGATACGCTTCCGCGATTATTTTAAAGAAATTTTATCACTGCACAAAAAAAAACATAAAATAGCAGTAGCCTACGTCACACAGCGAAGGAGCGCCGAGTACAGCTCTGCAGTTATTCTGTACTGGGAAATCCAAAACAGGAAAATTTACGAATTTGTAAATGGGAACCTAAGAAAAGGGACCCAACTAGGTGATGAGGAATTGAAAAAACAGAATGTTTCGGGAGTATTTCTTTTCCAGAAATATTTTAGCCCCCATTTTCCGACACAATTTTTGATATATTCCATTTTGAAAGATTGAATGTTAGGCCATACGATGTTATAAAATTTCAAAACATTAAGTGAAAACAAGCATAGCTTATTGTCTTCATTGTGCTTATCATGCTTTTGAACAATTTAAACATAATTTGTGATAAATTATGCACTCCTTCCACTAGTTAATATCACGTATATAGTTAAATATTAAAGAAAATCAGTAGGCCTACTGCACAAAATCTCATTTAGCACTGCACAAATTGGTTATCACACCTTAAAATAATCCCTGTTTTGTTTATTATGCAATTGTTTTGTTTTCTCGAGGGGCAACATCGTATTTCATGACAAAAACTCTATAGTGTTATAGAGTTCAAAGTTAGAAGAACCAATATATACCGGTAGTATAATTAAACGTTTTCAGAAGCATATCCTGTTGCGTATTTTTCTTCTCTTTTACATTCCTTATTTTAACACAAACTTAGAAAATCGTAGTTTATAAACTAGCGAGCTGGGTGGTACATCACTGTATTTAAAATGCTATAAGTATATAAACTACGTGCACATATGACTATACAGAATTTACAATAGTAGACTGTGTGTAAATTAATTCGATTGATGAACATCCCAAAATGTACAATGATAAACATTACATAATTGTATCATGTCCACTATTTTACCTGTCTTTCAACCAATATTATTACAGTACTCTTTAAGATGTTGCCAATGTAGAAAGGCAACATGGTAGTATTGATGAATATTTTTCTTATATTGTTAATACATATGTGCACATCTCTGCCAAATATATCCATGCACTTATCAAAGGTAATTCCCTTGACAACCCTATAAGGTTGATGATGCAACATTGGTTGAAAATCTTACAAGATTTAGGGAATATTTACATGAAAGTTAGTAGCTTGGCTCAAATTGCAAGCTCCAGTGTGATTATATTTCCAATTACATTTGAATTTATATGGCATGAGCTGGCATACCTTGCTACAATGCTATTGGAACTTGCTAAGCATTGCCTGAATCAATTGGGCAATTACACTGAGTAACAAAGAGCTGACCTGAACTTACATTCTCGCCTTTGTTATACAGTAGTAACAATTATAACCCATCAGACACAGTCACAGTATCATTCATGATAATATGATGGTATATGTGGGTTATAATTGTGAAATTTGCTCACAAATGTAGGATAGTTCGGCAGATATATTTAAATTATAGATTTATAGTGCTTGCCCAGTGCCTATGTTTTGTATGGGCATGCCTATTAGAAATATTTTTAACCTGTGATCATGCTCTGTATATATATATTGCATACAGAGCCTAATACAAGTCTTGATCCACTCATGCTCGCTTTCCACCCACACTACATGTAGTTTTATATTTTATACCCAATCAAAACGTCCCAGGAGAACAACAAGCTAACTGAATTACTGTATAGTTACAACCACTAAATATATCATTATCTAATTGGCATTAACCAATAAAATAGTCAATCACAGCTACAACTGTACAGGACATGAAGTTGCGTCAGGCTACATTTTTCTTTGCTGTCTGCTGCGAGACAAATAAACCAAATAAAGGTCTGAGCTCGAGCACGTGAGGTTATAATCTCGTGTAAACCGAGATTAAATTTGTCCAAGTAAAGCAAGCTGCCTAGTTTGGTACTGTACACCAAACCCAGAGAAAGAAACCTCTGCTAATATCAAACTACCTCCCCTCCAAACATCATCTATACTGATCTTCGAGGAAACACAGTATGGCAATTGGCAACAAAAGTGCTTGGCACGAGCTCTAATTATTTTGTTATTAAATACAAATCCACATTAACCGTGGAGACCATTTTCGAATTCATAAATTATATATCCTTGTAAATTATACACTACAATGTAAAAATAAAGAAGAATTTCACTTACTTTAGAGCCCTTAGTTCGAGCGTTTCACAGTATAAATATTTTTGGTATTCAGTAGAAAGATCCCATCCTTTATTGCCCATTTAGATCCATTTCAAGCTTTGCACTTTTTACTGTACCGAAATTATTTGTTCTCCGTCAATTTGAAGGGATTTCTCACCGCAAAGGAATAGAATAAACATTCAATCGCAGAACCTTGCGGACTTGACGCCATGACTTGGGTCGAATGACTGGTTACGTCACGGTAGATTTGATTTTGCAATGTTGCAAAATTTTGCCTGTTTGATTCTGCAATGTTACAAAATTTTTGCACGTTTTTGTTGCAAAAGTTTCTGCAACATTTTTGCTATATCTATCGTGATACAGGTCTTTAAAACAATATAGATTTGATGATGTCACGATAGATTTCACGCGGAAAAAGACTCAGGACCGCATCGATTTACAGATGCAAAATGGATGCAAATCAAATCTACCGTGACGTAGGCGATGTATCTGCTTCCACTGTGACGTCGAAGGATGCGGTAAAGAATAACATATTCTGTCGCGAAATTACTGACGCTTATAAGTGTTGCAAAATAACAGAAAGTGCACATTTGCGATCGCACGTCGCATATTACACCTATTTCGATAATTTCCACTGCTATTGAGACTATTTAAATTGGAATTCATCCTAAATCGGTGTATTCCTGACAAGGAATCAATTTTATGCAAATATTTGCGGGTTGATAGAAGATTTTTAAATTTAATTATAGTGCTTGACTATTGGCGACATCATATAATATTTAAAGCAATATGATTTCTCAATCTTCACTGATGTATTCGCATCACTGGCATCGGTCTGGATCCGCCCTATGTGCCGCCATTTTGTTTAGTTATGTACGTAGCCGGTCGCATTCGGGTAACATTTTTTACTTGTTACCCAGCGGGATACATTGCATGCATTTATCACGAACAGTTCGTGTCGGTTTACGAGAGGCAATGTCGAATACGTAAAATTCACGTATTATTGGTATTCCACACTATCTACTGCAGGATTTGTGTTTAGATCTTTCCCAAGACAGTCTGGTAGAAGTGGTGGCGGCACGGGTATTCTGTGCAAAGAATCGTTAAATGTAAAATCCAGTGACTGTGGGGAATTTAATTCGTTTGAATTCTCGGAGTGGAATGTTTGTGTGCACAAGCAAACCATTAAAGTGGTGACAATCTATCGACCTCCCTACTCGGAAGATCACCCGGTTTCATCAAATGTGTTTTTCGAAGAGTTTTCATCATACTTGGAGAACATTGTTATGATTCCCGAAGTACTCTTGATTACAGGTGATTTTAATTTTCACGTTGATTGTCCAACCGAAGCAGACGCGAAAAAGTTTGCGGACTTAATGAATACTTTTGGACTTATCCAACATGTTCATGTCCCAACTCATTCATCAGGTCATACCCTTGATTTGATTATCACTAGATCAATTAATGATGTCACAATCACCTCTCCTTTGGCGACGTTTGCTTTGTCTGATCATTTTTTTGTTGAATGTTTGTTGGATATTCCTCGCCCAAACATCCTGGTTAAAGAAGTTTGCTATCGCAAAGTTAAACATATTGACCTCAATGCCTTTAAAGCTGATATATGCGCCTCAGATCTATTTCAGAAAACTTGGTCAAGTGTTAATGATATGTCAAAATGCTATGATGTTACCCTACGTTCTATTCTCGATAAGCATGCTCCTTTGAAATCGAAAATTATGACTGTTCGACCAATGGTTCCTTGGTTTAATGATAGTTTAAAGAAGCTGAAAGCTAAACGTAGGAAACTGGAAAGAATCATGCTTAAATCGAAACTTGAATGTGATAAGAATGCTTATCGTAAGGTACGCGATGACTATAGTGCTATATTGAATGACACCAGAAAAATGTTTTATTCCAACCTTATTGACAAATCTGCTGGTGATTCTAGAAAATTATTCCAAATTGTGAACTCTTTGAGCAAAGAACGTCTAGTTGAGGAGTTTCCTGAAAATCGCGATCCTTCCATCCTTGCTAACGAGTTTGGTGAGTTCTTTTGTAAGAAAATTGAACTCGTGAAATCAAAGATTGACGAGATTTCCATTAACCCACCTAATGTTCCATTTCATCTGCCTGAAGTGAAATTGGACGAATTTTCTTCGGTTTCTGAGGATGAAGTTCGGAGGATTATTCTTGAATCTTCGAATGCTTCCAGTAAGTTGGACCCTATTCCTACATCATTGGTTAAACTCTGTTGTCATGAATTGGCCCCAATCATCGCTGAAATCATTAATCTCTCTTTTTCTGAAGGAATTGTACCCGATCATTGGAAAATAGCGCTAGTTTTACCTCTTTTGAAGAAATTTGGACTTGATTTTATGTTTGAAAACTTCAGACCTATAAGCAACCTGCCATTTGTTGCCAAGTCTGCTGAGAAGGCAACGATCTCTCAGTTATCTATACATTGTGCTGAAAATGCCCCTTTTCCCGAGTATCAATCAGCGTATCGGAAAAATCACTCAACAGAAACAGCTTTACTAAAAGTCCAGAACGACATTCTCCTCAGTATGGATCAGCAGGAGGTTACGCTTCTTGTGCTTATCGACCTAAGTGCCGCATTTGATACTATCGACCATGCTATCTTACTGGAGACACTTGAAAAAGACTTTGGCGTAACTGGAAATGCCCTCAAATGGCTAACATCTTATTTATCCGAGAGAAAACAAACAATTTTAATTAAAGACCATGAATCGGAAGTTTTCAATCTTCAATCGGGAGTTCCGCAGGGTAGCTGCCTTGGCCCTGTCCTCTTCATACTCTATGTGGCTGGGTTATTTAAGGTTATTGACAAACATCTTCCCAATGCACATACGTATGCAGATGACACCCAGATTTATCATTCGTTTCGGCCGGATACATCTTTATCACAAGATGCTGCACTAAAGAGTATTGAAAACTGTGTTGCTGACATTCGTGCCTGAATGCTTTCTAACCGTCTCTTGATAAATGATTCCAAGACTGAATTTATTATCATCGGTTCAAAGCAGCAAATGTCAAAGATTAACATCAATGAAATTACAGTTGGTGAATCTACGATCGAGCCTGTGGAGGTGGTTCAAAGCCTCGAAATGTGGTTTGACTCACATATGTCGATGGATATTCACATCGGAAAAGTGTGTAGTAAGGCGTTTCGCAGCCTCTATAATATCCGGCAGATAAGGAAATTCCTTTCAGAAGATACAACAAAGATTTTGGTTCATGCTTTTGTTACTTCACACCTGGACTACTGTAACTCATTGTTTTATGGTCTGCCACAGTCTCAATATGATAGGTTACAAAGAGTTCTCAATGCTGCAGCACGTGTGGTCTGTTTAATCCCCAAATTCGATCATATTACTCCCGTTTTGATTGGCCTTCATTGGCTTCCTGTACGGTATCGGGTGATTTTCAAGATTTTGTTGCTGGTGTA